AGAGAAAGTGGGTTTATAGTATTATCTCCCCAAATATTTCACTACATTTTATTGAATATCATGTATTCAAAAAGTTCATGGAAATGGAATTAAAGGCTAAGTTTATTTTGGTGTAAACAATTGAAATCCACACATACTGTTTCATGATATGATTTTTACATAAACTTTTGGAAGTCCCCTGGTATTTTGCTCTGTAATATTTTTCATGCAGATGAGCTAAATTTAGCTGTATTACCCATATTAATTAGTTGGGGATTATCCAGGTCAAAGGCTTCTCTTTTCCAATATTGTTATTTCTAATTGTTATTTTTTTCTATGAAGTATGCAAATAAGATGTAGGTTTGTGTGACTTGATGAGGAAGAGACCAAAGCAAATTGCCCCAGTGGTCTTTGCTTCTGCCCAGAGAATGGAAGCTCTGTCCGGGGAGGCCTAACTTGTTAGAAGCCCTTGATATCTGTTAGCTGTGCCACGCTTCACGCTCAAGGTGAATCTGGTTGTTAGCAGTGACTCAGCAGGCCATGGTGCTGGCAAGTGTGTGACTTCCATGATGTCACAACCTTGAGCAAGTCAGAGCCAAAACACCGACTCTGGAGACGCGGAGACCTTTCGCTCTGGCAGGCTGGAGTCCTGCGCCTGCCGTGGAGGACTGTCTTCCTTTTTTCACTGACACACTGCAAAGAGAAGAAGCAGGTAGGGATGTTTGTCACCCCCTCTTCTAGAGTGGAAGTGAGCCCCCAGCTCAGTTTAAAGTCACTTCACGATAAACTTAGAACCCACATAATCAGCATGAAGATGAACACCTTGTAGAACCTTCGAGTGTGGATCAGGGGAAGTAGAGGAGGAGACCTGGAGCGCTAGGGGAGGGAGGAGCAGACTTCAATTCTAGAGCAGAGTAGGGCTGCCCTTCTGCACGGCTGTGTGTGTTGGGGCGGGGGATGAAGATGACATAGGAACAAAGATACAGGAGAGGTGAGGGCATGAGTCATGAGGCTTTCTTTGTGAGGCACATGTCAGGCACAGGCTGTGGGAAGGTTCCAAGGCATGCCTGCCTGCTACATCCAAGGGGATGGGAACAAACGAGGAAGAGGAAGAAAAGGGAAAGACTACTGAGGTAGCAAGTCTGACAAGAGCAGTTCATGTAGGGCCTCAACAACGCTTACTTCTTTCTAAGATTTTTTTTTCCTTTCAAAGGCAGATTTACAGAAAGAAGCAGAAAATGAGACAGAGAATTTTGTATCTGCTGGTTCCCTCCCCCAATGGCCGCAATGGCCAGAGCTGAGTTGATTCGAAGTCGTTAGCTTCTTCCAGGTCTTCCGTACATGCAGTGGCCTGAGGACTCGAGCCATCCTCCACTGCTTTCCCAGCGCATAGGCAGGCAGCTGGATCAAAAGTGAAGCAGAGGGACTGGGACCAGTTCCAACATGGGATACTAGTGCTCCAGGGGGAGGATTCGTTTGCTGAGCCTGCGTGCTGATCAAAGGCCTACTTTTAAACGAGGGAGCCCTTTTCATTGTGTTTGTTCCTTCGCAGTCCAGATGACTAAAAAATCTGTTCAAATGATAATCAAATAATTTGCTTATATAACTTACACAAAGACCAGCAAATTGAAAATTAAGATTTTCCAATACAAAGCAAACTGGATATTTGGTTTTTTTTTTTAAAGATCTATTTTTATTATTTTTTTATTGGAAAGGCGGATATACAGAGAGGAGAGACAGAGAGGAAGATCTTCCGTCCGATGATTCACTCCCCAAGTGAGCCGCAACGGGTCGATACTATGCCGATCCGAAGCCAGGAGCCTCTTCCAGGTCTCCCACGCGGGTGCAGGGTCCCAAAGCTTTGGGCCGTCCTCGACTGCTTTCCTGGGCCACAGGCAGGGAACTGGATGGGAAGCGGGCCTGCCGGGATAGAACCGACGCCCATATAGGATCCTGGGCGTGCAAGGCGAGGACGTTAACCACTTGCGCCATCACGCTAGGCCCGCAAACTGGATATTTGTAACAAAACAAGCCAACCTTATTATAGTATCACATAGTTATATACACAGTCATCTCCTGAAATCTGTGAGTGTTGGTTCCTGGAGCTCTATCTTTTATGGATATAAAAATATGAGGATGCTAAAATCCCTTCTATAAGATGGTGTGGTATTTATGCATAACCTATGAAATCCTCCATATTTAATTTATTTTTAAAGCATCTCTCTCTCTTTAAATAAAAAGAGAACTCCCTCTCACTGGGTTATTCCCTAAATGCCTGTATTGACTGGAACTGGACCAAGCTAAAGCCAAGAACCCATAACTCAGTTTGGAGATGTCATATGGGTAACAGGAACCCAGTTACTTGAGTCATCAACTGTTGCCTCCCAGAGTCCCCGCTAGCAGAAGCTGGAGTTGGGACTTGAACCCAGACACTCGAATATGGAATATAGGCCTTCAAACTGGCATCAAATGCCTACTGAACCTGAAACAGCTGGCACTGGTAGCTGAAATCAGAAGCCAGGAGCTCAATCCAGGCCTTCTGCCTGAGTAACAGGAACTCAGTTGTTTGAACCATTGTTACTAACTCACAGGGACTGCATGGGCAGGAAGCTAAAGTCACTGGCTTGAGCAAGATATTGGATCCAGGCACACTGATGTAAGACACAGGCTTCTTAGCTGGCGTCTAAAGTGCTAGGGCAAACAGCCATCCCTTCTGGTATGCTTTAAATCATCTCTAGGATACTTATGGTACCTACTACAATAAAAATGTGAGTAATTGTTACAGTGTTTGTTAGGAAATAATGACAGGAAAAATGCCTGTACATTTACACACAGGTGTAATTTTTTCCCAAATATTTTTGATTCATAGTTAGTTGATATCATGGATATTCATACGTAATATTTATGTATAAAGTAGTCATACATGTATTATTTGTACATAATATGCATATATACATAATACAGAAGTATACAAAGACTTCCAAAAGTTTGTGAAAATTCATGTTAGGAGAAACCATACATGAATTTCAGGAATTTTTGCACCAAAAGAAACTTATCTTTTAATATTTCTATGAACATGATATATGATAAAGTCAGTAAGCTAAATACATTTAGGTAATGTTTCCTATATTTTAAACGCAATTCAAATACACTTGTGTTAATACAAGTCAATAAGCTATAACTTCAGTGACTAATTTGTTGTTTCAAGCATACCATTGTTCAATCTGTCTAAATAAAAACTACAGCTTTTCAAAGAGTCTAAATATACAAGCTATGTATGGATTTTTTTTCTTCTTCCTTACAGAACAAACAAATAAGCAAATTGAAACAGAAACAAGGAAATTACCAGAACAATGCCTGTTGACATTTTGTCACTTCCTCTGGAATTTTTATTTGCTGGTTATTTAAGAAGCCCTATTGTCTCAGATCAGAGCTGAGAACCAGGCGTTAGGCCTATACAAATGGCCCTGGATCTTTGATTTTAACTCACTGAGTAGCCTTAGGTGAATGGCCTCTCTTTCAGTCCTGGATTTCCTGTTTACACAAAGAAAAAAAAAAAACATATGAACAAACTTCTAGGACAAAGAGCTCAAATGTGGACCATCCAAGCATTTTGTGTGTGAGAAAAATCTGAGAAGAGAATAAAAATGGTTATGTCAAATCACAATTCTTGGTGATCAACAGTACTAATTTAATCTTTTCCAGTCAATGTGTTAAGGTATGAGTTAAAGGGGAGTAGAAGATCTTGGGAAGAGCCCAGAAGGGTGTGGTCAGAGAGGCAGGGGAACAAGTGTCAGAAGCAGAGGGGACTTCAGGAGGAAGCAAGTGCCCAACAGCTTGAACTCCTGCGAGGCAGCTGGGTGTGTCAATTGTCTAGCAGATTTGGCCTTCAGGAGTTCATGGTGCTTGGATTTTAAAATTTATTTATTTTTATTGCAAGGCAGATTTTACATAGAGGAGAGACAGAGAGGAGGTCTTCTGATTGCTGGTTCACTCCTCAAATGGTTTCAACAGCCAGAGTAGAGCTGATCTAAAGCTGGGATCCAGGAGCTTCTTCTAGGTCTCCCATATGAGTGCTATATTCCAAGGCTTTGGATCATCATCTGATGCTTTTTCAGGCCACAAGCAGGAAGCTAGATGGGGAAGTGGAGCATTCAGGACACAAACTGGCACCCACATGGGATGTGGAGTCAAAATGCAGAGGATTAACCTGTTGAGCCTCTGTGCCATTCCGTCATTGGTGCTTTTTAAAGAATGGTTTCTGTTGTGTATGGTGCTTTAGAACTTCCGTAGCAGGTGCCATGCATTTTATCCGTGTGTTAAGTTCTGTCTGTGGATGTACGTTGAGTAGTTCCTGTGTTACTGGCATGCTCTGTGGTCACTGACACACAGGATGTGGTGACTACATGTAAACTCATTGGACAGTAGGGTTAGGTGATACTTTCTGTCTGCACATCTTAGTTACTTCATCAGTTGGTGTGACTGCCATGACTCTCCTGCGGTGAAGAGGATAAAGTCTTGTTTCCACTTGAGACATAAATTGCACGTGTGGGGAAATTTTAAGGATAGAATCTCTGATGAGAAGCTATTGGAAGAATTTAGACCCTCTGGCAAAGAGTCTACCATTGAAGAAAGAGATAGAATGATGGGGGCCTGGGTGGACACAATAAATTAACTGGTCTTAACCAGACCAAGTAGTTGGTGCACTAAAGGCAAAAAGCAATTAGTGAAACAAAAGTAACAATTTTTTTTTTACCTTTTATTACTATTATTATTTTTCAAGACACAGTTTTGTAGGTATAGGGATTCTTCCCTCTGCCTCTCTTTCCTCCCTCCCCATTTCCTTGTATTATTACAGTCTTTTAATAACAGTTACAAGTTTAACTTTCTGCTTTTTAAATGTTCCATGGCATTGTAGATATAGGCAAAGGTAGAACATCAAGCGTCATACTGCCAAGGTATATTTATTCATTTCATTGGGAGTCCTCCTTATAGTCAGGAGTAAAGACACATACTGCAACATATGCTAGTCTCCATTATACAGTTCATCTATGAGAATATATGTATATACTTGATTACCTATATATCTACTTGTTTTGTACTTTGCATGAGAGCTGTCATATCAGAAGGAACATGTGTTTGTTCTTTTGGGATTGGTTTATTTCACTAAGCAATAATCTCCAGTTCAGATCATTTTGTTGAAAATGATAGCGTTTCATTCTTTTTGATGGTTATATAGTATTCCACTGAATAGATGTACCACAATTTCTTTATTCAAGCATCTTTTTGACAGGCATTTGGGTTGTTTCCATGTCTTCACTACTGTTGCTATAAATATAGGGGTGCAGGCTACTTTCTCGTGTGCAGATATCGTATCAGTTGAATATATTCCCAGGGAAGGTTAGATCATATGGTAGATCAATTTTAAGTTGTCTGAGCATTCTTCATACTGACTTCCATAGTGGTTGCACTGATCTGTACTCCCACCAACAGTTGAGTAGAGTACCTTTTTCCATACATCCTCAGCAGCAGTTATTGTTAGTTGGTTTCTGTATGTAGGTCATTCTTACTAGAGTTAAATAGAACCTCAATGTGGTTTTTATCTGCATTTCCCTGATCGCTGCAGAGCCTGAGCATATTTCATGTCTATTCTCCATTTCAATCTGTTCTTTTGAAAAATGCCTGCTCACTTCCTCTGCCCATTTCTTTACAGGGTTGTTTGTTTTGCTGTTGTCGAGTTTCTGAAGCTCTTTGTATATCTTATATATTCGTTCCCTATCTTTGTTGACTCTTTGCTTTGTTGATCATTTCCTTTGCTGTTCAGAAGCTTCTTAGTTTGGTGTAGTGCCATTTGTTTATTTTGGCTTTGACTGCCTGTGCTTTTGCTGAGTTTTCTAAGACATCTTTGCCTATGCCTATATGTTCTAGAGTGCTTCCTATGTTTTCCTTTAGTAGTTTGCTGGTTTCTGGGAGAAGAATTAGATCCTTGATCCATTTTGATCTGATTTTTGTATAAGGTGGAAGGTAGGGAGCTCATTTATTACTTCTGCAAGCAGAAATAATGATTTTAAAATGTTTGTGTTGGGCCTGGTGCAATGGCTCAGTGGCTTAATTCTCACCTTGCAAGTAAGTGCTGGCATCCCATATCGGCATCAATTAATTCCACAGCTACTCCACTTCCCATCCAGCTCTCTGCTTGTGGCCTGGAAAAGCAGTTGAGGATGACCCAAAACCTTGGGAACCTGCACCCACGTGGGAGACCCAGAAGAAGCTCCAGGCTCCTAGCTTCAGATCAGCTCAGCTCTGGCTGTTGTGACTGCTTGGGGAGTGCACGAACAGATGGAAGATTCTTCTCTTATTTCTTCTCTCTGTAAATGTGCCTTTCCAATAAAAATAAATAAATCTTTTTTTAAAAAAATTTGTTTCAATATGTTTTTTTCAAAAATTTGTTTGAGATAAAAGAGAGTTGGAGGGAGGGAGAGAAATTTTCCATCCATTGGTTCACATTTCAAATGTCCACAACAGCTGAGTCTGGACCAGGACAAGGTTAGGAGTCCAGGTCTCCCATGCGATTTGCAGGGGTCCAAATACTCAAAACATCACTTACTATTTCCCAGGGTGCAATTAGCAGGGATTTGGAATCAGAAGCAGAGACAGGACTTGAATTGAGTAGCACCCAACTTCTTCATGCCACCCCAAGCAGAATAAATTCGGGAACCCCCAGTACCAAAATAAATGAACTTTGCCATTTTGCTCACAAACTGTTGCTCAGGTGGAAGACCGTCAACTCTCCAGTATGCCACTTGTCACAATGCCCTGAGCTCCAAGAAGATGTAATTCTTTGGGCATTGTCATCAGCACAGCTTGGGCTTGGCAGAGATGCGTGACAGCCCTGGCTGAGGAGCCTGGCAACGCAGTGGGTCCATCGTGGCTTCACAGTAGGGACTTCCAGGAACTCCATAAAGCTTTGAGAAAGCCAAGTAGTTCTTTGTAAGAGGCTGAAATTTCTCACAAATCAGATGACAGTTTTGATGTCATTAAGATTACAAAGAGAAGACAATCATGCTCAAATCTGTAAGGAGAGAAAGATGTTCTGAGATTTGAAGCCATAGAAAATTCTCAGACATTTTTTATTTCATGTAATGTCAGCTATATATTTGGATTTTTCACTTAGATTAAAATATTAGCATATGTATATATGATCTTCTCTAACCAGTTTTTCATCGTAGTTCTATAGATCTTTCATTATCTTAGATTTTTTATTTTATTTCTGTTTGGGCAAAAATATGCTGGTGGAGCTGTAGGCAACTGCCTAGGTTGCCTTGTCCCTAGGCAAGTGTTGCATTGCTGGGAGAAAAACAGTCACTGGCTGGCACACATTCTGTACCTGGTGAAAGCCAAATTTGTGTTAACTATACCAGTATGCCTGCTTAGTTGTTTATTCTTTTTTTTTTTCTATGTGGCCAACCAGACTATTGCACTAATAGGTAAATAAGGAAGCTAACACTGGGTGATTTGCAAGAGAGACCTGGAGGAAGTTTCTGGGTCAGACCAATACACCTGTACAAGTGGGAGACCTGAACTGGGCTGGTTAGCATGGTCCACCCACCAGGAGACACAAAAGTAGGGCTTGAAAGCCTGGCTGAGAGGGCTAGTCAGTAGTACCCACCAGTGAGTGTTGGGGCAGGGAGAGGATCACATTAGGTTAGGTCATAGAAATTGGGTCTGGGAGCAGATTCTATGGGGGTATTTGGGGGTTCACCCCTGTGGAACTGTATTACCTGCTGATTTGCTTGAGGGCTGGGAGTGATGACGGGCTTAGCTAGGTATGACCGTGTAACCCTCTGACACTCATGGGACCTAGTGTTGGGTTCAGGTGGGCTGGTTAAGGCTGCAACACCCGCAGGTGCATACAGGTATTGTATGTAAGGCGGCCCAGGCTGCAACATCCACCAGCACAAACGAAGGCCAAGATTAGGGGGCGAGCTATGCCAGGTAGGGGCCTAGCACCATGTGAGATCCAGGTCTGGGAGTCGGCCTGGTGGGGGAACTTGTAGGCTGTAACTCTTGCTGTTGAGCATGTAAATCAAGGCTAGGAGTAGGCGATGCCAGTCAAGGCTGCTCCACTTATTGGCAGGTGTGTGAGCTGGCTTGGTGGGGCAGACCAGGCAGGGTCGGGCCAAACCATAGCATACTGGCATACTCAGTAGCTAGGATGAGGTGCAGACCAGGTCAGGTTAGGTCATTACACCAACCAGTTTTTGTGAAGGTCAGGGATAGGAGCAGGCTAGACAGGACTAGGCTGTAGCATCCACCAGCAATAATTGGTGGGGACAGGCTGGGCCAAGCCAGGGTGCAGTGTCTGATGGCAAGTCCGATGGGAGCTAGGTTATTCCAAACTGGGTCATAGCAACTGCTGGCATACACAAGATCTCCGGGTTGGTGTGGGGCTGGCAGGGTAGCTAAGGGGATGCCCCTGCAGGGCTGTGGTTCCCACTAGTGAGTATGAGAGCTGGGAATGGGGTAGGCCCAGCTGAACTTAGCTGCGACATCCTTCGGTATCTGTGTGGGCTAGGTCTGAGGTGTGCCAGACTAGGCTAGGCTCCAGTACCCACTGATTTTTACAAGAACAAGAGTGGGTATAGACAGGCTAAACTAGGTTGTGGCACCTGCTTATCCATTTGAAAGCCAGAACTGGGGCTGTGCCAGACAGGGCTTGGTCTACACATGTAGGAACTATGGCTTGGGGTGGGCCTGGTGGGGTTAATGGTCACCGTCACCCAACTAAGCTGCAGTTCCCACTGCTGTGCGTAAGGGCCAAGTCTATGGAAGACTGTGTTCTGCTAGGCTGTTGCACACCCATTGGTTTGCATAGGACATTGGGCTGGAGACAAAACTGATCAAAGCAACTATAATCATCAGCGCATGAGTAGGCTGAATTGGGCGATGGCCTGAACTGGACCCTATACTGGTTGGTAAATGCAAGACTTAGACTTGGGGTCACCCCAGGTGAAGTTTCTTGGATAAACTCACCAACTGGACCACTGGACTCAAAAACTGAGGCCACAGGGAAAATCATAGGATTTGTGATCTGACCTTGGACCACATACATGTGTTGAGATGTCCTCGATTGCTGATGCCTGTGCAGTGGACAGCATGCCCAATTGCACATGGGGGACAACACAGTCAGCACATTTAGATTTGCAGAGGATGTTGAGTACCATGTAAGATGGAGAGCAAAACAGGCTAGATAACTCTTTTGGCCATGCTTTGGCAGCAAGTGTCGGGTGAGTGAATGCACTGGGTAGGGGGTGTGGGGGGTGGATTCCTTCAACTGAAGGATCCTAGAAGGATTTTCTCAGCCTTTGATCGATGAAACCAACTGCAGCTCAGAACTATCAAAACCATTCAAGCAATAACCTCTGAACATTCTTCTCCACATCGAGGTTTCTAAGATGACATCAAGTGGACATCCCTCATCCCCGAGTACTAACGTAACTGGGCAGCTCATCCCCCTCCCCAGTCATCCTGAAGATACAGGAGGAAAGAGAAAAAAAGGAAAATTGGATGCATTTGTCCCACCCCTTTTTTCCCTCTTTGAACTTCCTCACTCGAATCAGTGGTCCCCATAAGTGTGCATCCTTGTCAACTATGTAACCAACATCAAAAATAAAATAAAAGTATTTTAAAAATGAAGGTCTGGTGGACAAATTATTGTCTTAGGGCAAGAAGCCAAAACTTGGTTTTGTTCAATGATAAAATTGCTTTCTGATTTTCCAATTTGTACTTTTGTGGAAGATTTATTTATTTGCTTTCTATTTGAAAGACAGAGTTACAGATAAAAAGGGATGAAGGGAAGGAGGGGAGGGGGAGAGACAGATCTTCAATCTGCTGGTTTACTCCTCAAATGGCTGCAATTGCTAGAGCTGGGTCAGATGAAACCAGAAGCCAGGAACTTGCTTCAGGGCTATCCTATGGATGCAGGGGTCCTTGCTGCTTTCCAAGAGCACAAGCAGGGAGCTGGATTAAAAGCCAGCTGGGAAATGAACTGATGCCCATATGGAATGCTGGTGCTGCAGGTAGAGGTTTAGCTTGTTATGCCTG